ATGGGCCGGCCAGAACGGATGCTAATTCTTTGAGCAATCTGGGATGGCAGCCGTCTGGTCCACATGACTTGTTGGGATTTTGAGCTACCAGGCGCTTGAGAACCTCTTCTTCGTGTATTTCAAAACATGTTAACTTCGAGTCGACTGGGCGCTCCTCAATATCTGGAATACTGTTCAAGTCCTCATCTGTGAACACACTGCTGAAGAACTGATTAAGAACGTTAGCCTTGCCCTCATCAGAGGAAATCTTTTGTTGGTCTACTTTCAAATCGGATATACCGTCCTTTGACTTACACTTCGAACTAGCGTACAGAAAGAAGGCTTTCGGATTCTTTTTGGCATTTTTAGCAATATTTTTTTCAAAGTTATTCACTGCAGTGCGACAAACTTTTTTAGCTTGATTTCGAGCTCTGGCATACAGGTTATAATCAGACTCACTGCGAGTTCGTAAATAACGCTTGTAGGCTTCTTTCTTGGTCTTTAGCTGAGTCTTAACTGCACTGGTCATCCACTGGGACTTTTTGACTCCTCCAAGCGTAATCTTGGGTACATAGGCATGAACTGCAGACATAACCGTGTCTTTAAGAAACGACCATGAATCAGCCACATTCATGTCCTTAATACAGTCCGAAATATTCGCCGCAATCACTGTTTCAAGGAGTTTATCAATAATGTCTTCAGTCAAAAAATTCTTGATGTTTAGCTCATGGTTGAACTATATCAAGATGACCTACGGCGATGACGATTTTTTGCCGTTCTTCGCATCTCTAGAGTGACGTCACTATGAGCACAAAATGTAAATAGTGTACCTAGATCAACACATTGTTTTTATATCATCTTTGAAAGCATTTAAAAAAATTTACCTCATCAAAATGGCCCATGAAAATTTATTTACTGCATGCAACTAGTCTAATTTTAAGCAAAATAGGTGTTACAAATAAGTTTGAAGTCACGAGGTGACGTCACAAGAGCCAAGGTGGCGCCACAGTTGGAATAACAAATGACATACGCAAGGCGCAGCTGCACTAGGGAAAACCTTGTATTAGTTAAACCATGAAAATAATTGAAATTAAAATGGCTCCAACAAAATTATTTACTGCAATTAGTCTTGTTTTAAGCAAAACAGGTGTTACAAAACAGTTTGAATCACACGGTGACGTCTCTGATTAGAGAGGAGGAACTACTTTTGTTTGATTAAAGATTTCCGTCCTACTCCTACTTTCTTTTCTAACCTTTCTTCTTGGTCTTGATGTAGTAATTTCAACCTTTAACCGAAACTACAAATTTGAAAGAAATCCGTTCGGTATTTATGAATTTATGACTGGGTAAGTTGAAAATGAAGTCATGTTTTCCGTATTAATATAAAAGTATTTGATGTAAAAATCTGAAATAAATCTGTCCGCAAATTACTAATATTATCTACTTATATTTCAAATTTGAAAGAAATCCGTTCGGTATTTATGGATTTATGTCTGGGTAAGTTGAAGGTGAAGTTAGGTTTGCCTCTTGAGATCGCGCTTGAGTTCGCGCTTGAGTTCGCTGAAGTGTCGATCCGGTCCAAAATCTCTCGATTCGATTTTACCTTCCAAATCGAATCCTCGCGGGGGAAGTGTTGAAAACTGCTATCATTCATTTCATTTAAGCAAAGAGTGATCACAATGTTCCCCATGTCTAAATTCAAATTAATTTTCCGACGGCATTATCTCCTTTACGTGTTTACTTGCACCCACTTAATTTCGCCATATCGAGGTTAATCCGCAGCCTTGAGATTTTCAGCCCTGGCAGCCATTCCAAGCCAGTTCAGCACCAACTATCACCGCATGACGACCTCCTCTACACACTTCACTGCCCTGCGTGTACGGATCGCTCCGTATCTGTGTATTTTGAACTTCGCGTAAGGATGGAGAGCGGCTAGCACTTTCTCGGTCAACCCCGTCAGCGAGATGGCACTCCGTGGAGACGCTAGCACCCGACGGCGCGCAGGAGGTCGACTACTTCGCCTGCTGACTCGTCTGTGGACTCTATGAAAGCCTACTGTGGTAGAGGTGGGTCGCAGTGCACGGATTGGAGTGACATGCCGGTCGGCCTTCTACCTTCAGTTTATTTAGTTGATACACATTGTGATCACTAATGCTTTTTCCACTCGTGAACTCTTTAAAGGTGAATGTCCTACGTTATAGTTATAACCCTCAAATTATTGAACTATATATAGCTTCCAGAACTATGTTCTTGGCATTATTCTTAATTATTTAGATTCATCCCAATTTGCTAAAATCTATCATCATAATTTTCAGGCATTCACCTCTTGTCAACCGCGTGTGGTGCAGCGGCGGCACTCCAGCAATCCCGACGCTGTCTGGAAGTTTGCCGCTGCTTCGGGGTGCGATTGAGGCGACGCAGCTCGAAACCATTACGATCAATATAATTAACTTTAGTTCGTTGTCGTGCGTTTCTTTCAAACCCCCCACTCGTTTGCGTTTTCAAGATGTGATGTCCGTTGTTCGTGTATGGGTAGTGACTGAGTGTTGTCTATGATTATGTCGGAGGTTTTTGTCTATTGATAGGATAATTTTGAACTTTGTGGTGTTGGTCCTAATTAGCCATTTGTTTTCGAATGTGTTTATCTGTTGGATGGCGTGTTGTGTTTGTTGTGCAGCATAGTTGTATTTGTAGCGTCGTGTTGTTATTTGTGTTATGTCGTCTGCAAATGCTATGTAATCTGTGTTGGGTAGTGGTGGTGGGAGGTCATGTGTATAGAAGCTGTATATTGTGGGGGAGAGACAAGCCCCTTGGGGAGCACCAGTTTGGAGTTGGAGTGGGGGACCTACGTGGTTGCCTATTCTGATGGATGTTGTTCTGTCATTGAGGTAGTCTGCAAGTGTTTTAGTGAAGGATGGGTGGAGATTGAGTTGGATGATTTTGTGTTGTAGTCCGGTGTGCCAAACCTTATCGAAGGCTTTGGCCGCGTCGTGGAGCACTATGTCGGTGGTGTGTTTTTGTGCTGTGTTTATGGCGAGTGTTTCGTGAAATGTAGCTAGTGCTGTGTGTGTCCCTCTGTGTTTCCTTAACCCGTGTTGCCTAGTGTTGTGTATGTTGTGGATGGTGAGGTGTTCATATAGTCTGTTGTTGAGTATTTTGTCCAAGAGCTTCCCGTGTATGTCTAGTAATGAAATTGGTCTGAAGTTTTGAACTTGGTGTTGTGATGTGTTGGGTTTAGGGAGGAAGATCATAATGGCGTGTTTCAGTGAGTCGGGGAAGTATCCAGCGGAGATGGAGTGGTTGAATATGTATAGAAGGTAGTGTATCATGTTTTTGGGTAGATGTTTGAGTTGGACGGTTGTGATGCCAGTGGGGCCGGGTGCTTTCTGTTTAAATGTTCTGAGTGTACGTTGTAGTTCTCTGATGGTAATGGGTGGGAAGTCTACTGGGTGGAGTCTTGCAAGGTCGCCGGTATTGTATGGATATATGAGGTGTATGTTGTTGTTGTTTATTTGGTCTTGTATGGTGTGAATGTGTTCTGTGTTAAAGTCTTCGTTGTCTGTGTCGTTCTGGGTGAATATGTCCTGCTAGTGTTTGCGGAAGATGGGTTCTTTTTGTTCGGGTGTGTCATGTTGTATGTTGTTGTGTTTGAGGTATGGGACAGCTTGTTTGTTGTTGGAGCCTATCATGCGTTTTAGGGATGACCAGAATTTTTGGGATCTTTTTGTGTTTCTAATGTGATAATGAGGTCCTGCCACGTCTGTGTTTGGAGGTGTCTGTATGCTGTGTGTAATTGTTGTCGTAGGTGATGAGTTGTCTGTTGAGCGCTAGCGATGGGCCGTGTGTGTGGATGTATTGGAGGGTGGCTGATATTGTATTTGAATGAGTAATGTTTAGTGAGTGGGCTTGATGCCAGTAATGATGCGATGTGTTATGGTGGGGATTGAGATATCGGTGGCGTTCAGTATGTGTTTTGTTCAGTTTTCTAAGTGCGTGTCTATTTCTTCCAGTGTAGAATCAGGTTGCGTGGGTACTGTGTCCTGTGATAATGCTTGTTTGTATAGTGTCCAGTTTGTTCTATGGAAGGATCTACGAGGACGGATGGGTATTTGTATGGGATTTGCGGAAATGGTGGCTATTATGGGAATGTGGTCTGAATGGGTCCGGGCTGTAGATGTATGTTGTGAAATACTTTATTATTGTGTAGGACTCTGTCAGGTAAGGTTGTTCTGTTGTGGGTGATGAGCGTTGGAAAGTAAAGTACTATATGGGTACATTAATTTGCGTTGGGATATTAGTGGGTGTAGTTGCCTTCCTATGTGGTTGGAGGAACTGTTTCCCAATGTTGTGTGTCTTGCGTTTATGTCTGATAGAAGGTATACGGGATGGGGCCTATTCAAAAGTGTGTGGAAATCGATGTAGTTGATGTAGTCTATGCGGGGTGGGATATATGTGGTTGCTATTGTGATGGGTCCTTGTTGGGTATCTATTGTGATTGCAAGCATGTCTGTATGGAAGTTGTCGTGTAGTTTGTATGGGATATGGCGTTTTATGGCTATGGCAGCACCAGAGTGAATTGTGTTGTCTTCGTTGCAGCTATGTACGCTGTAATTGCATATTTTGAGTGGAGTGTTGTTGTCTGTAATGGAGTGATCATTGATTAGTATTATGTCTGGGTCTATATGGTTGTAAATGTTTGCAAGAATGAATCTGTTGTTGTGCCAGTGACGGACGTTGTGTTGTATTATCTTTAGAGACGGTGGCAGGGTCATTGTGATGGGTGTTTGAATGTGGAGTGCTTCATCTTTTTGGTGGTTGTTGTTGAGTGTTTTTCCATGTTGGCGAAGGTGTCATGAGGAATGATATTTATTAATGGTTGGAGTATCTTCAGTCTGTCATGCTTCAGGTAGTCAAGTATTTTCGATTAGTCAGCCTCCTTCACCGAGAGCGTCAGTCCGTAATCTTTCTTGCTAAATTCGTCCGAAAACCAATGATTAGATGGTCCGTCGGAATTTCTACGTCTCTGGAGCTCCTAAATAGTTTAATGGGTGTTGGATCGTCGAGTCTGGGTCCTGTGACGAACGATTCTTCATACTGTTCGTCGATGCTCTTTCTTTTCCTAGGGTCACGGTCTTATTGATGGGTTTTGGATTTCTGAGGTGGAGGGTAAATTTTCCGATTGTCGTCGTCTTTTGGTTGTTGAGAGAGGTTGAGTAATGAGCGTCTAAGGTCGTCATCGTCGACGAATTCAGTCTCAGGGGTGAAGTCAGTGTCAGGGGCTTTGGTCTCTGGTTTATTATAAAAGAAATTGAAAATTTTGAGTCCCCGTCGAAGTTGAGTCACCGTCGGGAAACATTGCGTCTATGTCGTAGTTGGCTTTCAGGGATTTGGATAGTATGCTACCGAACCCCTCCTGGCGGGAGAGGCTGGCAATGTGGGCTTCCAGTATTATGGCTGTCAGTTTCAGTTGAGTCTTGTCCGTCAATGTTAGGCTGTGTTGGGGGATGTTGGTTTGCTGGATTGCTTGTTTGACGATGTCGACGTAAGTTTGATTGGTCTTTGTCTTGATCGTCTCGGTCTGTATTTGTTGTTTGTGTTGGATTTTTTGCTTGCGGTATGGACAGTTTGCTGCTAGTGTTCGGTGGTCATTGTGGCAATTGAGACATTTTTTGTATGTGTTTGTGCATTGGGTGTAGGTGTGATCCTTGGCAGCGCATTCTGAGCATGATGGTGTAGTTGAGATGCATTGGTGAGTTGGGTGATCTTGAAATTTGTAGCATTTATAACAGATGAGAAGGTGTGTGTAGTGTTCTTGTTCACATTGTGATGGAGTGATTTTGGAGTTGGACATGTAGAATCCGTGGGAGAGTATTCCTTGTGCTATAGTGGTGTGTATAGTGATTATTTTGATGATGTGTGTATATAGTGTTTTATTATAATGGTGTCCTGTATGTGTAGCCAGTTCTGTTGTGTAGTTATTTCGTGTTTGATTTCGTCTGCTGAGTGGCTACCTACGTCCCTGTCAAGTTGTCTTACAAAAATGGTCCGTTTAGCTCGGAGGTCTGGGGGTATTATGGGTGTTAGGTTGATTTTGTGGAATGCTTCAGTCGCCTTTTTGGAAGTCAGTTTGTCGATCACTGTAGCATCGTCAGTCACGGCATAAAAACCAGTTGCGGTGTCAGTGAGTCGGATAAGTGGGGTGTCAAGTGCTTTAAAAGTTGTCTGAAATATTTTGGGTCGGTCCGTCGGGATTCTTGGGTCGATTTTTTGAGTTGGATGCGGTAAGTCTGGGATCTCGAGCGTTCTGATGGTGGGTTTGATGAGGATGAAGATGAGGGAGGGGGACGTGATGATACAGATGGAAGTCGAGGTCTTGATGATGATGGCGAGGGGCCACTGCCTCTCGCCCTCTGGGGCAAGCCCGTCGGGTTCGAGGCTGAAGTGCTCCCTGGTGGAGGGGGCATGAGGGTATGGGGAGGGGGGAGCGAAAACACAAGTATATGAAGGGATTGCAGTCGTATGTACAAAAAAAAAGGTATAGACAGAGGCAAAAAAGTAAAGTCTCTAATTCCTAGCGACACTCACGACACGAAGGCTGCTAATCCAAGGTGAGGCTGCTGATAAGTCACAAGAGAGCACAGTCAAAACCACCATCAGTGACCACGAGGGGCCAAGCGTTCTTAAACCTGTTTTATTCGTTATTTTCATAGACTATCTGCCAGAAGTAGCGTGTGCTCCACGTATGCTGATGACACAAAAGTTAATAAAACCGTTCAGGATACGTCAAACAAAGTGCAGTTGCAAGATGATCTTGATAGTTTATTTAACTGGGCTGAAACGTGGCAGCTGCGTTTCAATGCTGACAAGTGTAAAGTACTTCACCTTGTTAAGAACGATGAAAGCAAGCTTACAGTATGAGAAGGCATGGTTGCAACGAGAGAGTGGCGCATGAGAACTCGACAGCGGAACGAAACTGAAGTTTATGTCAACATGGATTCAAAATTTCTTGGCATATTGTGAGTTAGACTAAGCAAAGTTAACAAAGGCAATATAATGCGAGAATTAAGGGGACCGGCTACCCTCCGGAAAAACTTCTACAGTTATTATCCGATCATCATGAAACTTCACATACATACGTAAAATGTAAAAATAAGAACATTTTGCTTCGATGAATTTTTCAAAAAATGAGAGAAAACATGAAATTCATAAAAAACGGCTAAAAAGGGGTACTTTAGAAAATCTATCTCCTCCTACAAATATCATCCTAAAACATCGAGACACGTATCATTCGGTTCGTAAGGACCATACCTAAAAATTTGATGATCACTTTTCTCATTTTCCCCTTAGTTTTTTTTCTATGCGCGTTTTATCCCATTTTTCTCATTTTTTCCCCCCTCCCCCACCTTCTCCCCCATGTAAAAACGAACCAGACAGAAATTCAAAAAAATGATCATCAAGTTTT